ACATCTTGATATTAGGATCCATGGAAATAGATGAAGGTTTACAACCAAGATATCCAGTTTCAGTTAACAAATCCAACGCATATTTTCTTTGGTATAAGGTAATTCCTGTGTCATTTCTTGCAATTTCAAGTCCAAGAAAATATCGGAGAGTCCCCAAATCTTTCGTTTTGAATTTTTGTCTGAGTGTAGCTTTGAGCTCTTCGACAGTCTGATCGTCATTACTAGCAATAACAATGTCATCGACATACACCAACAATGCTAGGAAGGCTTTACCTTGTTGCCTGACAAATAGAAAGTGGTCACATTGTGACTGATGGAAGCCTTCTTGAAGTAATACTTGTGAGAACTTATGAAACCACTATCGGAAAGCTTGTCTCAACCCATAGATTGACTTGTGTAGGCAGCAAACAGGTTGATGTGGAAAAGTCTCCCCCTCTCGAGGAGAATAGCCTGGAGGAATAGTTATATAAACTTCTTCGTGAAGGTCACCATGAAGGAAAGCATTGGTGACATCCAACTGAGTCAGGTGTCAACCATGGATAGCAGCTAGTGAAAGCAAAATCTTAACAGTAACCAATTTGGCAACAGGAGAGAAGGTGTCAAGGAAATCTATGCCAAATTGTTGTGTGTAGCCCTTAGCAACCAAACGGACTTTATGTCTTTCTACGGTCCCATCAGCTTGATATTTAACTTTGTAAACCCACTTGCAATCAACGGGTTTCTTCCCAGGAGGGAGGGAAACAATGGACCAAGTGCTATTGTTCTCTAAGGCACGTAGCTCCACGTTCATAGTATTCATCCAAACATTGGACTGGTTAGCCTCATAAAAGTTGGTAGGCTCAGTGTGGGAGGAAATGGCACAAATAAAGCTATGATATTGGGGTGTAAGTTTGGTATGAGTAAGGGACGAAGAAATGGGATAAAGTGTCTGTGTTTCTGTATGGTAGCAGTGATAGTCAGACAAATAAAAAGGTAGTCGTGTTATACGTAGTGGGCGAGATGATAGTATTTGGGAAGACTCATGTTGTGAGTGGACAGGTGTATCAAGAGAACCTGAGAAGTGTGTAGACGTATGGAAAGGAAGAGGTAAAACACGATCATGAAAAAAATCATTGTGAATGGGATCAGGTGAGTGAGAGGAAAAAAACGGAAAGATATGTTCATGAAAAATGACGTTACGTGAGATGAAAATTTGGTTGCTCTCGATGTCGAGAAGTTTATATCCTTTGTAACCCGAAGGGTAACCAAGGAAGACACAAGCCCTAGAACGAGGTGAAAATTTATGGCGATGACTATCGAGAGTTGAGCAGTAGCATAGACAACCAAAGGTACGCAAGTGATCATATGAAGTTTTTTTTGAGTTAATAGTTCAGATGGAGTTTTATTAGATAACAAGGGGGAAGGTGTACGGTTGATTAGGTAAACAACAGTCAAGATGCAATCGCCCCAATACACAAGAGGAACATAGGATTGAAACAGTAAAACACGTGCCACATTTAAAATGTGTTGATGTTTTTGTTCAACAACAGAGTTTGTTGGGGAGTCTCAACATAAGAATGATAAGAAACAATACCTTTTG